GGGCCAGTTTCTGGAAGGGGCAGAGTAGTGATTTTCTCCTCCTCCTCTCCCCAAATCATTAAACAGCACTTTTCTTCCCCCTAGAGCCCAAGTTCATGCTCAGGGCAAAGGGAATTAAATGAAGAAGCTGAACCTGCAGCTAAGATTAGAGAGTGGCCAAGGGCCTAATTTTAGGTCTTTGCTGCCCCAGCTGACGTCCTGCACTGCGGACTGCGCCAAGAGGACCACAAGTGTGGCCGGTCAGTCGGTGTCTGAGCAGGGAGAGCGTCTCCCTGGCCATCTGCAAAAGCAATTAGCTTGCCGTTGGGTGTGTTTTGAGAGGGGCTACCAATAATTTCTTCTTCCACCAATGTTTCTTCAGGTGTTTGAGAGTCAATAAGAGAACATGTCGGAGCTTGGCAGAAGTTCCCACATGCTTTCCATTCTCATCTTCACACCTTAACCTCTAAGTGTGCACTCCAACAAGAGAACTCACCCTGCCATTCCTGGTTTTCCATAGCAAGTAACACTCCCAACAGAGTCCCTCTGCCTAGACCTAGAGAAAGTCTGCACGACTTAGAGAAAGTGTGGTTTGGCACCTGCCAGCTTCATGGATGCAGAGATGGATGGGAGAGACAGATTCTCCCATCTGGGGGAATCTCTATCTATGACACTGGGTTTAGACCGTCCTTCTATTCTTCATATAGCCCTCATCCACAAGTTTCATGATTTTAATTGTCCTCTTCAGAGGGCAAATAATAGTAGCTGGCATCTTCCAGATCAAAAGGGGAATCAGAATATATTTTAAAGTAACAACTCTGTTATCCTACAACCAGAATAATAAAAGGATATAAATATGAGTCCCTAAATGATTGCATTCTGAAATGCCATGGGGGAGCAAGATTTCCTGCATAAGGATGCTAGGGAAACTCCCACAAGAGTATACCATATTTTTGCACAACCCCAAAGCTTGTGGCAGCCAACCATGAGGAAGTCTGTGTCCCTTCAAGTTTGGGGACTGTGCTAATCCTCGGGGGCTTCCAGTCTGCACTGGAGGTGCTTACTAGAAGCTCATTTCAGGGGCAATAAAAAAAGGCAGACTGGCACTGCCAGACCAAGAGAAGAGTCCCTTAACAAGACTGAATGCCATTGGTGAGGGCCACTACCCCACTGTCCAGGAAGTACAGAAACTTCTCCCTTCCTCTATTCTCCTTCTCAATTGGAAGAAAATCTGTCTACTTGTCTCGAGTCCTAACTGTCGGCCTGTCTCTGTACCTGTCGCCCCCTCCACCACCACCACACAAGCACACCCAGTCCGCCCCCCTCCCCCGTCTTGTGGTGCGGGCCCTTTCATCTTCTTCCTCGGGGATTCGAGATGTCGCTGCAGGAAGTGCTTGTCGGCTGCGGCAGCAGCAGCAGAGCCCTGTGGCTTTGACAAACCTCATTTAATTGGGAGGAAGCCAGGAGAATTTGAAAGAACTGAAACATCCACGAAACTCCTTTTATCAGGCATAATTTAAACGCTGCATGGAAAAACCCCTATATGTATAAAGAAAAGTCAACTTCCCTCCTGCTGGGAGCACTCCTTGGCTACCCTCCCCAGCACAGGCAGGCTCCTGCAAGATTCCATCTTTTCATTTCTCTAAAAGTGTCAAAGTAGATTTAGGCTCTGTGACTGGGTGAGTAGAGAAGGAATACAGATATCCCTGTCTCCTTCATACCTGTGTGTGCATGTATACACACACACACACACACACACACACACTCTCACAAAACCACAATCCCCTAGATATGCATGCACCAGAGTCCTTCTGTTGGTGGATTTGTTTCTGGTCTATCAGGAAGAAACAAAATCACCCTTTCTAAAAACTCATCAACTTGGACAACAACTGTCTTTTTAATTACCCTTCACGCAAAAAGCTGGTGCCCAGAGAAGTTTATGTTTAGAAATCTGCAGAAGTCTTACTGTTGTTATGTGCTGTTGAATGGGCTCCAACTCATAGCAGACTCTCCAGTGAGTTTTCAGAGGCTGTAAATGACACAGGAAGAGGTTGCCTCTCTTTCTGCTGTACAGGAGCTGATGGATTTGAACCAGCTGTCTTTGGATTAGCAGAGAAACTCATCCCTAGGCCACCAGAGGTCCCTTTGTATCCAGAATAGCAGCCAGGAGAATAGCCCATAGGGGAACCTGTGTTGTTTTGTTGTTTGTGGGTTGGTTTGTTTAAGTAAAGGATGTGTGTTGGTGTACGGATGTGAGAGTGTGTGTGTGTGCGGGGGGGGGGGGGGGAGCGCAGATAGAGAGACTGACCCTGTGCTTCTAAATGTGTCCAAACATATATATTTCCTTGAAGTGTTAGAAGTTCTGAGCCCAAGGGGGAAAAGCAAAGAAGGGATACCTACAGAGGCTCAGCCTGGGAAGGAGGTGTTTGGATGGAGTCTGGGAGGGAATGGGGCTGAAGTGGAGGCAGAAGGAGCAGAAATGGAGAAGGAATTGAAGTCGCTCTGGAGTGTCTTTTATTCCACTCAGGCCAAAGCACGTCCTTCCTCTCCAGTCTAATCCGCCCCCCTGAACTGCTCCCACTTCCAGTCTAATCTGCCCCCCCTGAACTGCTCCGGTCCCTCCAGAGCATCGCCTGTAGCACAATGGCTTCTCTGGACATCTGCAGTTGATTATGAGCAGATTTTCATTGTTTAGATATGATTTGTGCTAACACGAGGATGAGGGTGCCCCGTTTCCTCTTCCTCACTCTCCTTTCCTCCCACTCCATAAGATCCTTGAGGCCAAGGCCAAGTCTCCTTTGCCTCAACTTTTTATAGCACTTAATATGTTCTTGACACTTAACGGCAACTTAATAAATACTGATGACTGACTCTTCTTACAGGGTTAAGTAAGACATTAACCCCAGCTGTACAATGATGGTGATTTTTGGGAAGCGCCTAAATGATTCGCTTTCAAAGTAAAATAACTCAAGAGGTCTCAAACAGAGCTCTCGACCACAGCAGGACTGTGTCCTAGATAACATGTGGACACGTTTACAGACCCTGGGACTTCAGACCACACTGTTATCTATACTTCCTTACTCTATCGTCACCCCATCACAATCTATGTACATTTCCTCCCCAATCTCATCCTAACGTCCTGCTCTCAAAATCGAAAAGGAAGTGAAGCCTCTGATGGATTCCACCCAATTCCACCCACCAGAGAGAGGCCTTACGGTCAGCTGCACAACTCACCAAGGGCTAAAATCAGCTTCCACTCCAACGCTGGATGTCGCCAAAGAAATGCCACCGCGGGCTAGTTCCCCCCACACAGCCGGACATGCCCACACTGCCCACATCCTCTCCTGGCCTCTCCTGACCGCATTCTGAGAACCACGAGGCAGCTCCTGTCACATGCTCCCTGGGCAGATTGCAGATCTGGAGGATGACTTCAGGTCCAGGCAGCAAAGGCGGATCTCAGGGTGAACCCAGTGGGCATCCAGCCTGGAGGATGCACCCTCCCCCAGACCCCACCCCGTTCTTCCTTCGGAGGCATCATGTTACCAATCAAGAGCAGCCCAGCTTCCCTCTCCCCACATATCCATGGCCCCTATCATCTTACTCTGGATGGAAGAGAAAAGGCTTCTTAAAAATCTCTGTGGCGCAACTACTGTGGAAGGTGGTATGGTGCTTTCTCAAAAAGTTGCAAATAGAGATACCATTTGACCCAGCAACTCCACTACTGGGAATATATCCCAAAGAGACCATAACTGACATCTAAGCAGATACATGCACACCCATGTTTATCGTGGCTTTGTTCACAATAGCAAGGAGTTGGAAGCAACCTAAGTGCCCATCAACAAACGAATGGATAGAGAAGCTGTGGTATATCCACACCATGGAATACTACACTGCATTGAAAAACAAAGAACTCATGCAATATTATTCAAAATGGGTGACCCTGGAGAACACTATGCTGAGTGAATTATCTCAGTCACAAAAGGACAAATACTGCATGGTGCCACTGTTATAAAACAGGACTGACATCAGGGTTGGAGGGAGACTCAGAAAGGCGGGATAAATAATGTATACTGCATTGAAACAGATGACAGAGAAAGCTGTTTAAAAGGGATATGTGATTAGGTATTTTTGTCATGACGGGAGTCCAGAGCGAAGGCTACATAGTGGAGTGGACCTGGGGGGAGGGACTGTAAAACAATGAAAGGGTTTTTCTTTTACTTTTCCAAGAGAAAAGTGTACTAGGGGGGAGGGCTGGGAAGGGAGAAAAGTACAACAATGAATGAATGGAAATCCACAATCTCTGTAAATTTTCATTGAAATTAATAATAAATTTAAAACAAAAACAAAACAAACCAAAAAACCAAAACTCTGGTTTTCCATCTCTTGGCAGAGAGGCTAGTTAACACAAACAAGCCCAAGGTAACTTCATCTCTTTTGATTTCTAAGTACAAATATGTGCAAATGAACTGTTTGGATAGTTACAAGGAAGTCCTGTCACCTCTTCACCAGAACTTGGGAGTTGTACCTAGTCTATGTACTATCAGGGCATCCTGGGAGCATAGTGTGTTGGTCCAAACATCTCCACCTCTCTGGCAGTTTGAGCCCACCAGCTAAGATTCTTGGGGATGCAATTTGTAGCCTTTTCTCTTGCCATCTATCTAGTTGAACTGACTCTCTAGCTGTCCCTCCAGTGGGTTTCTGGGGCTGTAAATCACAATGGGAGAAGACTGTCCATCTTCCTCCTGTGAAGTTGCTGGTTGGCTCAAGCTGCCGGAGAGGTGGGACTTTGGGGTTGACAGCACAAGCACCTGTGGACTAGGTCACCAGTCTCTAGTCTACACAAACATCGAGTTGCATTAAGTTCCATATTTCTCTTCCCAGGTAAACTGGTCTCTATTCTTCTGACTGTAGATTCTATGGTTTTCTACTGTTCAGCTAAAGCACTTAGACACACGCACATGTACGCACAGGCGTGCATATGAACACACACGCACAATGCACCCACAGCCACCCTCTCTCACCCTTCGGAAGCTGGTGCAGCTGAGATGGCAGGGCACTGAAATAATCATGAACAAGTGCTTCTTGGGCAGACACCCGAGCTCTGGGAAATCCTTTTAGCATCTGGGATGCCAAGTCTTCAGCTTCAGGAACCCTGCCCAACCTGGAGAAGTGAGAGAGAAAAAAAGGTTCTCTAGAAGTCTCCCTTCTGAAAAAGAAAGGGGAGCTCTGAACAGGAAAGGGGGAAGGGAGGTAGGGAGATTTACAAGTGTATTCCAAGTAGAATCTTCCTGGATGACTAAAGTGAATAGGAGGTGGGAAAATCTGCACCCCTGCCTCCCCACCATCCCCCCAACACTGAAACTTATGGCTGTCCTCTAACTGAGACGAAGGAAGAAAGCCTGTGTTCTATGGTTTAACTCTCCCCGTTCCCACTGTACATTATGCATGTATACGTAAAGGGCATAGAATTTTAATTACAGAAGCAGAAATATGTAATTAAAAGATTCTTCCTTGAGGGACATAGCATCCCTGACCAAGCAGGAAAGCTCAATTGAAAATAGATTCTAGACTCTGAGAGCCATAGCATGGAATGACGATGGGGAAAGGGAGAGACAGATTATGGAAGGTGCTGCCTGGGCGGAAAATAGCCTTATCTGTAGAGTGTTTGAAGCTCAGCCCTCAAGTTATTAGTTGAGAAGTTCTCTTGGTTTTCCCCGAGATGAAGCATGGAAGGCAAAAAGTAATCAATTATTTAAATCACAATAGGGACAAACTGACTTAATGTTGAGTTATACTATTTGGAGATGAATAAATCTATTTATTGAGAAACTATTATGTGCTAGTAGGTGGCTGGTGCTGGGTTGTACAGGACAAGATCTTGCCTTCTGATCACTAACAGTCTAAAAGGGCAATTGATCACTGATCGATTCACCGATAAAAATAGTGAATTAAAAGTTCTGAAACCTGATAGCCAATGGAAGAAGGTGGTCAGGGATGCATTTTTTGTAAGAGTATCATTCTAGATTAGAGATGGAGGACTGAAGGCAGATAAGACGACATACTGCCACAGAGAAATGTGGTTTAAATTCTGATCTGAGGGTGAAAGGAAGGAGAGTAAGTGTAGAGAGTAAAAGTCAGTTGACTGGCCAGGGACAGAGGCTGGGAGAAGGGGTCCCAACCTAAGTTGGATAGAGCATTAGGGGTCGATCCTGTGAAGACCTGTGTGTTCACACTTCCTATTTACTTGTAATTTATCCTTGCTGATGGCAGTTGGGTCCTGGCTGAAAGCAGAAAATACCAGAAGAATATCCTCTGAATATTATTGACTATGCAAAGACATTTGACTGTTGTTCGTGTGAATCATAACAAATTATGACTAATATTGAGAATGAGAATCCCAAGAACACTTAATTGTGCTTATGTTAAACCTATATCTAAGCCAAAAAGCTGTTGTCTGAACAGAGCAAGGGAACAGTGTATGATTTAAAATTAAGAAAGATGTGTGTCAGGATTATGTTTTCTTCCTATTTATTCAATCTGTATGCTCAACAAATTATCCGAGAAGCTGGACTCTATGAAGAAGAATTTGGCATGAGGACCTGCAGAAAAATTCATCAACAACCTGCTTTATTCAGATGATACAAGCTTGCTTGCTGAAAGTGAAGAGGATTTCAAGTGCTTGTTGCAGAAGATCAAAGACTACAGCCTTCAATATGGATTACATTTCAACATCAAGAAAACAAAAATTCCCACCACTGGGGTGATAGGCAACAATATCATGACAGATGGAGAAAAAACCTGAAATTGTCATCTTATGTGGATCCACAATTGACATCCTTGGTACCAGCAGTCAGGATATCAGGAGACATATTGCACTGGGCATGTTTGTAGTCAGGAGCAATGCTGTCAGTTTAAAGACTATGCTTTGCCTTATCCAGGTCATAGTCTTTTCAATCACTTGCTATGCATATGAAAGCTGGATAATGAATAAATATGTCAGAAGAAGAATTGATGTCTTTGAGTTGTGGTGTTAGAGAAAAGTACTGAATATCCCATGGACTGCCAAAAGACCAAACAGATATATCTTAGAGAAAGTGTAGCCAGAGTGATCCTTGAAGGCAAGGATGGCAAAGCCGTGTCTCATTTGGGCATGCTCTTGGGAGAGGCTATTCCTTGGAGAGGGACATCATGCTTGGAAAGATGGAGGGCTGACAAAGGAGAGGAAGCCCCTCAACCAGATGGGTTGATACAGTGATTGCAGCAAGGGGCCCAAATACATCAGAGAGGATGAGGATGGCACAGGATAAGACTGGATTCAGACCTGCTGTCTATAGGGTCACAATGACTGGTACTTGATGGCACCTACCAATGACAATCTAATGACAGTCTTTGGAAAAAGATAGCATGCTGAGAAAGGTAGAGTCAATGAAAGAGAAGAAACCCCCAACGAGATGGGTTGACACAGTGACCACAATGGGCTAGAACGTGGCAGAGACCGTGAGGACGGAGCCAGACAGGACAAGGTTCAGATGTGTTGTTCTCAGGGTAGCTGTGAGTTGACTTGTTGGGATCCAACAACAATGACAACAGTTCCAGTAATTTAAGTAGACCCATCTCCACAGCCTAGAGACAACTTTGTAAGAGGAAAGCCATAAGAGGGGAAACAGTGCAGTTCCGGGAGGTATTTAACTGCAGGACTTATGCCTGCCATTCACAATGAAGTTGCATGACCAAGAGATCCTTCAGTTGGTGAACAGACAGACTGTGGCATGGTCATGTCCATTCAGGAGAGTATTAGTTGCCAATGAAGAGAAATTAGCTACATAGCAGGAGAAATCGTACATGCATACTGCTAAGTGAATATGCAAGTCTGAAAGGCTACATGTTACATGATGCCAAGAACATGATATACTGAAAAGGCAAAAAAAAAAAGAGACAGTGAAAAGATCAATAGTTCTTACAGGCTCAGGGGATGGTGGAAGGGATAAACAGGTGGAACACAGGGCGTTTTAAGCAATTGCAAATATTCTGTATGATAGTAATGGATAATACATTGCTAGTGGTATGTGCCGTCAAGTTGGAACTCACCCACAGTGGGTTTTCAGTAAACAACACAGGAGATTGCCCATTCTGGCATATGTCATTATAAAATTCTCAGTACCCTCAAGTCATTCTGACTCCTATCATCTCTTTATTGGGTTTCTGTGGCTGTAAATCCTAACGAGAGGAGACTGCCTGTCTTTCTGTCTCAGAGCTGCTAGTGGATTTGAACCACAGGAGATTTATAGATTTTTGACGAGTAGTGCAGCATGCTAAGGATCATGCCACCAAAGTTTTTATATGACATATATTTGTCAAAAGCCAGAGAACTGTACAGTGTAGAGAGTGAGTCTTAATATAAAGTATCACTTCCCATTAGCAGCAATGTCTTCTCACTGGTTCCTCAAATTGTAACAAATATACAGAAATACAGGATGTCATTAAAAGAAACAGTGCTCAGGAGGAAAGCAGATGTATAGGAATTTTGTTCTTTTTATATAATTTTCCTGTAAACCTAAAACTGCATTAAAATAAAACAACAAAATAAATTTTAAGGGGGGAAATGGAGTTGCATGGTCATGGGATCTCATAGCAAATCCCTAAAAAAACCAAAAATCCACAAGCTTACTACATGTCCAACACACATGAAGATTCAAAGGACCAACAGACATCCTTTCCCTCTGCAGAAACCACTATGCAACAATGCTGGGAACCCAGGTTCAGAATAAAAATTTGCCTAAGCTTTGCATATAGTTTACTTAGCAAACTTTCAGGTACCTGATTCCCATGACATAAAACGGTTTCTGCAAATAGACAACTACCCTCAAGCCCAGAAATAACTGCCTCATTGACCGAAGACGGAGGAAGAATGTGTACTCCTCAGTGCTCTCTTCTCGGCCAGGCGAGTGGGAAGGGATGCAGGGTGGATGGAGTCCTCGCATTAGCTCCAGCCTGATGGAGGACTGGCAGGATTGTCTCCATCCAGAGCGCTCCTGGTCTCCCCTTGGTGCCTACGCTTTTTACTAACAGCATGAAGAGGCCGCCAAGTGTGAAATTTTGACAAGTTCCTACCAATCTCTACTTACTGTGACTATCCGACACTCTTGCTTGTTTGGAAGGGCCTAGGAATGCATAGACTGCATCTCTGGGCACAAATGTTCCTTTCCTGACACTTTCCCTGTGTTTGGTGGGCGCTCTGGTTGTGTATATAGTATGTTGCGTTACTAACCAAGAGGTTAAAAATGGCTCACTTCAGCTCATTGCCATTAAGTCAAAACCAACTCATAACCAACCCTCCAGAGGGTTTTCAGAGGGTATAAATCTCACAGGAGGGGACTGACCATCTTTCCAAAAAAAACTGTTGGTGGATTTGAACTATAAGAGAGGCTTGACCTTTGGGTTAGCAGCACATCTCCCTACAGACCCCACCTCCAGATCACCCTCCTTAAGGTTAACAATAACGACCTCGGAGATCTGTGGCAGGGCTGCTAGGAGACAGAACCAACTCAATGGCAGTGATTGAAGTGAAGTTCTAGTGCCTAAAGACCCATCTCAGACTCCTAACCCAGAGGCTGGAAGTTGGAATCCAGCAGCTGCTTCTTGAGAGAAAGAGAGCTGTCTCTTCTGTAAATATTTACAGCCTCAGAAACTTAGCAGAGGGCCACTATAAACAGCACCTATTCTTCAGTGGTGGTGTGGTTTCTGGGTCCCTGCGTCTAACAACCTGCATCTTCCTCAGTGGACAGTTTTACTGAGTGCCCATGGCCTATATATACTGCCACAGTTCTACAATTTGCAGCCTCTTTTAACTCCTTTTAGAACAATTCTTCACATGTTGATTACAATTGCTAATTTAGAACTAAAAGCTGGCATGAAAAGTGAACATTGCAAATGATCATTTGCCTACCAACCCCTTTCCACAGATGCCCAATGTTAATAAAAATATCATTTGTTCGGTTTGCGATGTTGCCAAGAGGATATTGAAGGATTAAAAGAATCTGCTTAATTAATGAGAGTCTCTTACTAAAATCAAAGAAACCTATGGTGAACCCCTCCTCCACATGAGAAGTGTACCCCTACCAAAATAACACACATTTATCTTAAAACTCTTAGAAAATACCAAGAAAGAAAACACAAACCACCCCTCGTCTCTGAAGCTACCTCCCCACTGATCATCACCATTGCTTTGTTGACCATTTTTCACTCCCACTATATTGTACCTGCTGTCTTAACCTGCTTTTCCCACTTGATTATCTTGATGTTTTTCTCTTTCTGAGCAGCTTTTAGTGGCGTAATTATAATGGCTGCAGGGCGTTCCATTACACGACCATATCATAATTTATATACTTGGACTCTTATATTGTTTCCTCTTTTGTTGGGTTTGGGGCTGGGTGGTGTGAATATTTATTAAAGTCTTACTGTAAAAATATCCCCAAAGAGAAATCTTTGTGTACTTGTGCAATTACTTCCTTAGGGTAAATTCTCAGGAGCAAAATTTCTAGGTTGAAGGATACAGAGCATCTTACACTTTTTCATTCCCAACATTAGCTAGAAGAGCTGCCACAACTTCCTATGGGTATATCAGGAGCAGCATGGGAGAGAGCCTGTCCCTGTGTTACATTCTAGGCCACCTGAACTGCCGCAGTTCCTACTGCTTATCAAAGTCCTAAAAAGAAAGAAAATTGTGCATCGATCTTAAATGGTGTGCTGGACATGAATGACATCCACATTTCATTTTAGAAGTCCAAAATAGAAACAAGCACAATGAGAATGGGAAAATCAGACTTGTTAGTCATGTAAAGTAGCATCTCATGTACTAGCCCATCACTCAACATGTTTAAAAACCTAGTGATTCCCAAGGGCCAGAGGCAACAGTCTTGATTTCTTAGCACAGCTTGACTTAAAGTCTGAAAATTCCCTTCCACATCGCTGCCGTCACCCTTCACAGGGCAAAGGCCTTCTTTATCTGTTTGGAATGCAAAGTTGGCCACTGTGAGCTCAACGGAGTTCTTTATGTTTTACCTAGATTTACAATAAGAAGAAAAAGGACAGAGATAAAGTAGATATTTGTTTAAAAATGCTGTCAGTTTAGGATGTTGTCAAGTAGACACAGAAGGAATGTGCACAATAAAGAGAAGATACGGCACCAGAGAGGCTGTGCTACAATTTGTTAATCAAGCCAGAAAATAAGTGTGTACTTGGTGATGGTGGTAGTGGTGTTGATTGCCTTTGAGTTGAGCACAACTCATAGCGACCCTATGAACAAAAGGCCTGAAAACCCTCTACAACTATCGGCATTTATCAAAGTTCATAGAGTTTCCGGAGGCAAGTTGTTTAGGAAGTGGATGCCACTCCTGCTTCCTACTTTCTGTGCACTTGGTGGACCCCTCTAAACCTGGTCGCCATAGTACTAGGCAAAGCCCGAGGACTTCACAGGTGTATGAACAGCGCCTCTCACCTTCGCAGAAATCTTGCAAAAAATTTTAGTGACACTTGGCTGGTTTTCTGTCCCCCTCATTTGTAACCCGATTGAGTTGACAACACCGGAGATCTGTACCAAGTGAATCTCGGCTCCACCACTTGAAAGCAGAACAAGTTTTGTCAAGGTACTGAAGTTCACTGTGCCTCAGTTTCCTCGGACTTTGTGAGGCGTAAGTTAAATATCATATGGAGCACACGGTTAAGCACATCTTTCAATATTAACCATGTTCTTTCTAGGACAAAATGCTTCCCAAAGCCAGGAGCTTTCTCACACAGTCACCTGGGCCAGTGTTGTCCCATAGGACTTTCTAAGACAAAAAAAAAAAATAGCCTGGAACTCCATTGTCCAATATGACAGCTACTGTTCACCTGTGGTAGTAGAGCTCTTGAAATGGGGCTAATGAAACTGAGCAACTAAGTTTTAATTTGATTTAAAGTCATTTAAATATCATTTTTTTTAAAAAAACACCACAACAAAACCCTACATGTATGAGAGGGGGGAAAAAAGCTCTAGGCATTATTCACTTCTGTAGGGGTGTGAGCAGAGAAGCCAAAAGGCTTAGAAAAGGCAGACAGACATTGTGGAGTGCAAGGGAGTCAGCAAGGGTGCCAGCTGCTGGATGTGGGAATGACAACTGAAGGATTGCTCATCAAGTTCAAGTCCCGCTCAGCACTAGAATAAAGCGGCCATATCAGGAGGCCAGGGCTCCTGATAGAAGGCTTAGTAGTAAGGAGTTACGGCCAACCCAAAGGCATGTGGTTCTGATCCACCAGCTGCTTCTTGAAAGAAAGATGGACAATCTCTTCCTGTGTGATTTAAAGCCTCTGAAATCCTGCTTGAGGGTCAGCGAGGAGTCAGTTTTGACATGATGGTCCACAACAACATCAGATGGAGCCATTTGCTGCTATGTGATAGTGGTGCAGCAATACAGGGTATCATTAAGGTGCTTTGCTGGTTTAGAGTTAACATTTGCTTTGGGGGCCAGTAGTGAAGTTATAGAAAGACTACGTCCACTCAACCCACCCTCTCAGGTCCATACTGACTCAGAGTGACCCTGTAGGGCAGGAGGGAGCTAGTGGTGTAACCCACAGAGTACTGTGATGCGAACCATAAGGGCTTGCCTTTCAGGTTGTTTGAATCCAACAATGGCTCCTTAGAAGAAAGATGTGCAATCTCTCATGCAGTTTACATCCTCGGAGGCCCAATGAAGGCTCAGCTATGAGCTGATTCTGCTTTGATGGCAATGAGCATGAGGGTTTTTTTCAAGACAGAACAGAGCTACTCATTAAGGTTGCCAAAGTGCCGCCAGAGTTCTCTCTTGGACGCAAGGATGGTAGAGCTTTGTCTTCCAGACTTTGGACATGTAGCTAAGAGAGGCTTTACCTTGGAAAGGGATATCATGCTGGGAAAGATCAGCAAAGGAGAGGAAGTTCCCCAATGAGATGGATTGACACTGTGACTGCAGCAATGGACTCAGGTGTATCAGAGATGATAAGGATAGCACAAGAGAGGACAAGATTCAGGTCTGTTGTCCATAGAGTTGCCATCAACTCAAAGGCACCTAACAACAACAGGCTATAAATCTTTATGAAAGCAGACTGCCTCATCTTACTCCTCCAGCAGGGCTCGTAGGTTCAATCTACTGACTTTAGAGGTACCAGCCAAATGCTTAAGTCACTCTACCACCAGAATTCCTAGAAAGCCCTGGGCAGTGCTAAGATCTTTGGCCAGGGCTTCAGGGGTTGTACCAAGCTTTTGAAAAGAAGAGTGGATGTGCAGGCATCCAACGGAGACTGTCCCTCCCCATAAAAGATCCTTTGATAGCCATACTTCTGTGTTCCTCACCCACTTTATTCTTTGGACCTTGACATTCCCTCTACTTGGAGGCTTTTTAAAGCATATGAACAGCAAGTATGGAGAGAAATCAAACGAAATACTGTTAGGTTAAATGATACCACATTTTCAGAGAAGAACAATGTTCAAATGACCAGTTAGGACCTTGGCCAGTGAACCTCTCTTCCATTTCTCCCCACCTGTGAGAGTGTGTTTTTCTTTGACATTTGAGCCTGCTTCCCCTGTCTCTGATGTTTTCCTCACTGCCCTTTTTGCCTCCTCACTGAAGCAAAAAGAACAGAGCCTCGGCTAATTACTCTCAGATCAAATAATACTGGTTATTGTAATTGGTCATTGTCCGAAAACACAGAGTTCTTCTTAGCCCTGAGGTTGCCTGGCACGGCTTAGTTAGCTAACTATTCCGGGAATGTCTCTATTATCTGTTTTACTTTGCAAAAGAAACTAGGGATTTGTTGAAAGCTGGTAATAAAAGTCTGGCCTGGTCGAAGGCAAGGCTGCGTAGAGAGGGCCTGGGAAAGCATGACCTCCATGAATCAAGCAGCCCCCCCTCCAATAGCCACTCAATGATGCTATTTGGTTTCTCTGTGTCAGAGAATAATAAACCCACTAGGTTTTCTTGCGGGCCAACACTCCTTCGTTCTCAGGGCCTGGGGCATAGTCGAGGGGCACAGAACTGTTTTAATGACCAAATTCACTGAAAGCAAAATGGTGCAAAGAGAAAAACTAACAAATCTACAGGTGGCTCCCGGCTCTCCCAGTGGTCTCTGGGGCGTGTTGAGAGGTCTGAGGTCCACGGAACTACCACTGTCTTGCAGTTTAAGGAGCTCCCCAAGTTACTTACCTGTTCCAGACCATCTGAAGGCTTTGGGGCTTAGGCGGTGGGAACCATTCTGGAAAATACACACAGAAACATGATGAGCATAATATCCTGGAAGTATACAGGTAAGGAATCTAGAAACCACAAAATTTCTGTTGCTTGTATGTTTATCCCACACCCATACAAAATTAACCTAAAATCTTGTTGCCAGAAATATCATTAAATTCTAAATATTATGAGTCAAGTCTCAAGTGAGCCAAAACTAATTTTTATTTATTTATTTATTTATTTTTAGGGAAAGTAGATGATTTTTAAGGGCTCTTCTCTGTTAATTTGTATGATTCTGTGGGACTTGAAAAGCAGTAAAATCAACAAACATTTATTTAACATCTACTGTGTGCAGAGCATGCATCAGTGCTAATGGAGAATACAAAGAACTCAAAAGATGCCTCCCCGTCCCAGGGAAATTACAATTCACTTGGAAGAACAAAGCACGCATGCATGAAAAGTCATGTGATGGATGGCAGGGCAAAGTCTCAAAAGTCTAATAAGGTAAAAAGTAACAGGACTGATTTTATATGTCACTTGTGCAAAAAAATGGAAGTGAGTCTTGACTTGAATAATGCAAAATGGACAATCACCAGAAATGAGAAAAGAATGAGAGGGAAATGAAGAGGTAGCTCAGGAGGGTGAAGGGAAAGGCAAAATAAATTTTTATCATACATTATAATTAATTACATTAATCAGTTGTAACTAATGTTATAAAATACATGTGAATGATTAAATGAAACTATAACTACAATATTATAAAACAATGTATGAATGATTGGATGACATTTAATTCCAGTGTTATTAAGCAAAATATTTTTTTAAAAGATCATGCAGAAAAAAATATATTTCAACAAAAACAACAACAACTAAATGGACAATAATAAAATTTTTTGCTTTCTTCGGAGCACTCTTTTACATAGTCAGATACCCTGTGCATAATTCCCTCATTGATGACTAGCAGTTTATAAGGGGAAACTAATGTCAGAGAGGCAAAGCCAACCAATATAGGTTGTCTGCATGGGGTAGGAGGGGAGGCCATATTTTGACTTTAGGATTTATTTTATACTGGCTTACATACAAAGTTCATAAAGATCATATACATTGGTTTTCACACCAGACTTTCCCCCTTTTCTTTACCAGTCTCTCTCTCTCTCCCCATCAAATTATAGTCACACAATTTGACTTTAGGATTTAATTCTGCTTTATCAGAACTTCTTGTCTGACCCTGGACATATCAGTCCCTCAATTTCAGAGAACCCACCACTCACTGCCATCAAGTAGATTCTCATAAACCCCACTCATGAACCGAAGAGAGGGCCTGAAAGAGCTGACCCTAGAGTGACAACATTTTCTACTTGAGGGAGGTCTGTGTCCTATGGAGTGATTGGACCTGATTCTCTTCCTGCCCCTATTTTTGTAGCTACCTGATTAAAAACCTTCAAACTCACTGCTGTGGAGTCAGAACCAACCTTTGGCTGACCCACCAGCGAGTTTCTGATGCTGTAAAACATAGGGATGGAGAAGCTCTCTCCTTCAGGTGAGATACAGGAGCCCTGGTGGCCTCGTCTGGAGGAAGCTGAGCTGCTAAGCTGAAGGCTACCCCTGTCTTGAAGTTCAAATGGCCCAGTGGCTCCACAGGAGACAATCTCCTCTCACGTGATTTATAGCCTCCAAAACCCACTGAGTGTCAGCGTGAGTCAGTTCTCACTTGATGATGGTAATGAGTTTGAGTTTTTAGCTAACACAGAAGAACCTAGAAGTGCCATGAATAAAGCATTTGGCTGCTAACTAAGAGGTTGTCTGTTCAAGCCCACAAGATGCTTCTTGGGAAAGAGATGAGGCAGACAGCCTGTGTGAAGATTTACAGCCTTGGAAGCCCTGTGGACAATTCTACTCTGTCCTTCAGAGCTGCTGTGAACCAGAATCGATTAAATGGTAGTGCGTGGTGAGTTAGCTGCAATCGAGGGATTTGTATGTCCAGGGTGAGTCAGGATGTCTTTATGAAGCAGAACCAAAGCCCAAAGCCAATGTGTGGGCTCCTTTGCACTCCAGCGTGGATAACCTCATGCTGGTGACCTTGCCTTTCTGGCACTGATATTCCCTGGTCGTTATCGGCCGGTGATCAGTGACAGAATGATGCACAAACAGGCATTCCCACAAAGCTCCACTTGAAAAAGCAAATGGCAACCAGAAAAAAGCAGGAGTAGCCATATTAATCTCTGATAAAATAAATATCAATGTAAAAACCATCACGGA